ACATTTTGTAATATTATTTGCCAATTTATTTTATTTGTAGATAAATAAACCTTATGGAATAACTCAGAATCCAGTAACAAAAGATTATATGACGGTTCTGGCTGATGAATGTGCTGAGTGTAACCTTGTATGTTATGCAATACATTTTCAACAAAATTTTGGAAATTGGACTAGTGGTAATAATGATATTGACAAATTCATTCAAGATTCTCAGCTATCAGCTCATTATGATGCGGAAAGGGCATTAGAATGGATACCTTATAATAAATTTTATAGTATTATATATATTACGAAAGATATGTATAGAGCAAATTGGATTGATGGAAATATAATCAATTGGGATAATAATAATCAAACCTGGAAAAGAAGAGGTCAAAATATACTTGTAACTCTGAAAAAATTATATAATTCAAAAAAATTTATATTAGAATTAGCAAATAAGGTATAAATAAGATATCTTTAATCACATTTTGTAATATTATTTACCAATTTATTTTATTTGTAGATAAATAAACCTTATGGAATAACTCAGAATCCAGAAACAAAAGATTATATGACGGTTCTGGCTGATGAATGTGCTGAGTGTAACCTTGTATGTTATGCAAAACATTTTCAACAAAATTTTGGAAATTGGACTAGTAGTAATGATGATATTGACAAATTCATTCAAGATTCTCAGCTATCAACTCATAGAAATATAAAAAAAGCAATAGAATGGATCTCTTATGATAAATTATATGATATTAAATATATTGGAGAAGATATTTATAGAGCAAATTGGATTGATGGAAATATAATCGATTGGGATAATAACAATCAAAATTGGATAAGACAAGATCAAAATATGATTGTACAATTAAAAGGATTAAAAGTTTCAAAAAATATTACATTAGAATTTATGGATGAGGTACATTAAATTAACTTTTCTATTAAATTTTTTAATAAAATCTTAATGTATTGTATTTTATTTATAGATTAAAATAGATTATATATTTTATGGAATAACTCAGGATGCAGAAACAGAAGATTATATGATGGTTTTGAATGATAAATGTAAAGTATGTAAAGTCAAATGTTATGCAATACATTTTCAACAAAACTTTGAAAATTGGACTAGTGGCAATAATAAGATTGATATATTTATTCAAGGTTCACAATTATCAGCTCATTATGATGTAACAATAGCATTAGAATGGATCCCATATGATAAATTTTATGATGTCAAATGTATTGCAAATGGCAGTTATAGAGCAAATTGGATTGATGAAAAAATACTAAGTTATTGGGATGTTAAAAATCAAAATTGGAAAAAAGGAGTTCAAAATCCATTTGTAACTCTAAAAAGGCTAAATAATCCCGAAAATATTGCATTGGAATTAACAAATGAGGTAGAAATATATGATTTTATTTTTTAATTATATTTTTGTATTTATAATTTTACCATTTATTTTATTTATAGATAAATAAATCTTATGGAATAACTCAGAATCCAGAAACAAAAGATTATATGATGGTTTTGAGTGATGAATGTAAAAAATGTAATATCATATGTTATGCAATACATTTTCAACAAAATTTTGGAAATTGGACTAGTGGTAATAACGATATTGATAAATTTATTCAAAGTTCACAACTATCAGTTCATAATAATGCAAACAAAGCATTGGAATGGATACCTTATGAAAGATTTATTAATATTGAATATGTTGCAAAAGGTGGGTTTAGCAAAGTGTATAAAGCAAACTGGCTTGATGGAAATATAAATTATTGGGATAATGAAATTCGGCATTGGAAAAGAGGTAATCAATATATGGTCGTAGTTCTGAAAAGTTTAAATAATTCAAAAAATGTCACACCAGAATTTATAAATGAGGTATAACTTATTTTTTGATATTGTTTGATTGAAAATATTGAGAATTTAATTTTTATTAATAAATTTCAAATGTTTATGTTTAGATTATGTTGCACAATAAAGTAGATGATAGTTATTTTATTATTAAATTTTATGGAATAACTCAGGATCCAGAAACAAAAAATTATATGATGGTTTTGGATTATGCAAATGGAGGAAGCTTACGGAATTATTTGAATACAAATTATGATGAATTAAATTGGAAAATTAAGATTAATTATTTATATAATATTGCATCTGCACTTGAAAGTATTCATAGAAATGAATTAATTCACCGAGATTTGCATATTGGTAATATATTAAAAAATAATGATGTTACTCTTATAACTGATATGGGATTATGTAAACCTGCAGACTACAATTCATCAAAAAGTACAAAGAATAATGTATATGGTGTTTTACCTTATATTTCTCCAGAAATTTTACGAGGACAAAATTATACTAAAGCTGCTGATATTTACAGTTTTGGTATAATTATGTATGAAATAATTTCTGGATTACCTCCGTATCATGATACAAACCATGATAACAGTTTGGCAATAAAGATATGTCAAGGACTTAGACCAATGTTTAAAATTAAAGTGCCAAAACTAGTTTTGTATTTAATTAAAGGATGTTTAGATGCAAATTCATTAAATCGACCAACAGCAATTGAAATTAGGAATAAATTGTGGAAATTAAAATTACAAAGAGAAATTAAAGAAGAAATCAATGATAATTTACCAATCAGTAATATACCTTTAATTAGTTCGTCCTATAAAACACACTCAGAAGCTATTTACATAAGTAGATTACTTGAATTTAATAATCTTCCAGAGCCAAAAAATTCTGACGATTATTATGAATATGATGATAATATAATAAGCACAAAGTTTTCAGGTATTAGATTCTTACTTTAAAAAAATGTTTAGATTCATAAATATTAATGTAATTTAATTTATTAAATAGAATCCTTACAAATTGATATTTCTCAATTAAACATCAATGAAGATGGTAAATTAGAATCCTTACAAATTGATATTTCTCAATTAAACATTAATGAAGATGGTAAATTTTTAATTCAAATAATTTTAAATAATTTTACATTTATTCATACTTAACGTATTTTATCTATTATTAGGTAATAAGATAAAATCAAATTAGATAGTTTGTGAATTTTTTTTTCTTTTTTTGCCATTATAATTTAAATTCTGTTTAACGTTAGCTTTCTTAACTTAAAAATGTATTTTTTTTTGCCCCCAAATTCATGGAGTAGCAATTTTTTTTTATATTTATGTATGTAATAGATAACGCTAAGGAGGATTTTAAATTTTAATGGTCTTACAATTTTTTATAATTTATTAGCAAATAAATTAACCATCGTAAAATTTTATAAATAAATTAAAAAATTAAAATTATTTATTATGAATATGCGGAATTTTAATGACCGATATTTTATAAGACATCCAATGTTGAAATCAGTTAATTCCTATTGGTCGCCGCAGTATTCCTAATGGCCAACTATAAAGACCGATAAAGACGTAAACCATATTGTATATTAATTTTTATAGTTCAATTATAAATACATCATGGCGGATTTATGAAATACCTCAAAATTTGTCCGTCATGTCAAATTAAAAAAATATTTGACAGCATTTTAGTCACCAAATTATTATTTAAGTCCCAAATTTATAGCGAACAGTCAAAAATGAGTTCTAAAAAATTTTTTGTACCCAAATTTGCGTCTAACCAATTTTCCCGTTACCTAACCAATTTTCCAGTGTTAAAGTTGCGCCATTATTTGAGCTTAATGCCACAATGATATATACGTGTAAGAAAAAAAGTATATCAAATAAAAAGTTTATTTGTTTCAATAAATAATAATTATGCTATAATATTAATGTATCTATTAAGATATAAATTGATAAAATGTATTCTATACTTTAAACAATTCTAATAAATGGAAGATGCCGTGTGAAACATGATTCACGTGACAGGGAGATCACAGTCATTAGGCGCGGATTTACTTTCATTCCTGTAAGCATGACTTCTTTGTTTCCATTTTTGTATAACAAAACGAAATATTTGAAAGGAATTTGGATAAGGTTCATGATTTATTACATTTAACTTTAACCAACAGTAAAAAAAACAATAACTGTTTATTAAGATAATAATACATTATTTTATTTTTTTTTTATATGATGAAAACACAATGATATCATATATTTATTTTCTTTGTAGTATCTAAAATTTTTAGACAATTAATTTTGTATTGATGTTAGGTCAAAATATTTATAATCAATTTTATTTTTATTTGTAATTTTCAGTTACAATAGTTACAATAAAAAAACTTTTATTTATTTATTTCGGAAAAATATTTATTTCAGTTTCGATGCATTTATTACATATAATAATTTTTTTTTTTTTTTTGTACAAAGAAATTTAACATTATAGAAACATAAATAGTAATTTTATCATTCATTCATAGATTATTAATAAATCTAGAAATTTCTGAGTTTCTAATGTACGCAGTAATACTGGGCCTTTGCCGCTTTGCGTAACATTCTCGGATTCAAATTACGCAATTTCGGATATGTGAACAAAGTAACTCCGCGTTAAAAAAATAGAATTAATTTCGGATTTATTTGACACCATTTGGTTAAATATATTATATCTTAAAAGTGTATATATAGGGTCTTCTCCGTTTTAAAAATATTTTAGACAATATCCTTTGAACGAAAAAATAAACTTAATTAAAATTTTTTTTTTTTTTTTTAAATAAATAAGGTGAGATTACAAAGTAAAAAGACCTTATAACAATAGATCTAAAAAAAAACAAGCAATTATGTTTAGCAGAATAAAAAGGTAAGTAATAAAATGTAATTTAGTTATTTGCTTATCTTATCGTGAAACATTTTATTTGTATGGATTTCCTTTGGATAAATAAATTCATTTTATTATCAAATCTGATTCTTGTAATCTCACCTTTCTTTCTTTTTTTTTTAATTAAGCTTCCTTACTACTTATAACACCAATCAAATAAGTGAGATAACAAATAGGCCAATACATTGCTTCATTTATCGGTTTATTCAACTTTGCATTACAGCTTATATAATTTTATTAATTGTTGAGGGTAAATTGTATTTAAAAACGGTAATTATCTTGAAATTTCACCAAAAAAAAAATATTTTTCCAGAAATTATCCGTTCGGTCCATTAGCATATGTATAAATAATTTTTGACGTAATATATAGGATCCTCCAATACCTGGCGCGGTAAGATTAACATTACAAGAACCAAATAATTTTACAAAACCCTCATATTGTGTGGAATCGTCACCAACCACAAATCCGCCAAGCTGTGCAGAAGATAAATTACCCTGCGTATATTGGGGAGCAAAAGAAATTCAATATCCAATTGAAGAAACGGGCGTAGCATTTTTTACTACAAGAGCAAGTATAGTAAAATATCCACAAGGAACATGCAAAATTTTAGCATCATCACCCGAAGATGCTTGTATAATTAATTCTCGTAAATCTTCTGGCGAATCTGTAATGAATAGTTCTTTTATAGCTGATATTGAAAATTATACTGTAAGTACTGTGTATATTTGTTATATAGTTTGTATAGAGTATACTGCACGTATATAATTTTTTTTGTAATTTTTGTCCAAAAAAAAACCTAGGTTATGATTGAACATTCCATTGCCTCTATCGATGGAAAAATTTTACTTAAGAATAGACTTATGGATGGTCAATTTTTATCTGCTGATGATACGACAGTAATTAAATCATGGTGGGCCAATAGTAATGAAGCCGATGGTGATATTTTAACAATGAAAGAAATTTTGGATGCTGCAGGTATTTAGATTTGAGAATATCGTTGGTTATTGTAAAATTCTATTTTAAAACATTCAATTTTTTTTAAAAAAATGTATAGGCGCGGACTTAAGCGGTAGCTGTCTTTATAAATAAATATTTGCTAAATTATATTTTTGAGTAAATTCTTATATATTAAATTAACTATACATTTTTTTAATAGCTTGCTCATCTGCTCCTGGCGCAAATAAAGATGTAAACGAGTCAAATAGATCCTCTGGTATTATTATCGTAATTGTAATACACTATGAATATTATCAAAATCCACGTCCAATCTCGTTATTTGTCGTATGTTGTATATTTTATTTACTAGAAAAAACTATATATAAAAATATATAATATAATAATTTATTTTTTTCTATTTTCAACAGAATAATGTTTACAATTATAAATATAAGCCAAGAATTATTGATGATGCTGAATACAAAATAATTGAAGCTACTTCTAATATTGATGATGGTTCATATATAATTAAGAATCGGCATGGGTATTTATATTTAAATGATCATTTATAAATATAAACACGGTATATTAAGTATATTAATTCCTTTTTCTTTTCTAATAGGATTCGGCTTGTATTTCATCAACATGGAAAAATTAGGTCATTCAGCTGGACAGATTTAATTATAAATATCACGGCATCACTTTATTCATATGTAAGTCTTTTCTCGTATGTTTTCAACTTTATACATATTTCTAATTGGTAAAATATTTTCTTTAGAGAGTTGTATCCTTAATTATGGATTTTTCAATAAGGCATGAAGTGGATACATGGTTTAGAGGAATTTTTCGTTCGAATAGGAATAATGATATTGAAAACAATGAAGATAATGAAGAAACCCTACCTCTCATCAGATATGAAGATGAAAATGAAAATGAACAAATATAGAATATTCTAGTTTTAGAAATATAGAATTTTTTGTCACATAAATAGAATATTAGAATTTGCCAACGGTGCAGGCATTTATTTTGCTTATTTTTATTAATTTATTTTATCACAATAAAGAGTAAATTTGAGTTAGAAATCCATTAATTAAATAAATAATATATAAGATATATTTTTTCATTCCCCAATCCAAAATGCAAACGCATTCATTTTCGAATTTCAGTTGCTAGCCTCGTATTATCTACGAGTATGTTATCGAAAATAGATATTTAATTAAATATTATTACAAGAGACCTTATATGTTGATATAAATAGAAATCATTAGTTGTCTTGGTATGCTAATTTCGCTTCATGATTTTATAACTTCTTAAGTAACATATAAATTAACACGTGTAAACGTCTTTAAGGAACATATTAGTAAAAATATCTAGTAATCTATCTATATTACTTTTATAAACAAAATTTTCTTGAACTATAAATTATTTTTAAAAAAGAAAATTAAAAGATATTTTGAACGTAAAGTGGAAAAAATATAAAGTCACCGTTATTAGAAAATTAGTCCCAATTATTTATAACTGTTATAGCAAAATTACTGCGCTATTTATCAAGTGAATAATACTTTTTTGATAAATAAAAAGAAAATATTATATGTGAATATATTAGGCAAATAAAATTTTAAAATCCAAATTTTTCTGATATCAAATCTACTTTAATCGAAAATAAAAAATCTTAACGTTAAAAAAATCATTAAAATAATAATTATTATTTACCATCAAATTGAATACTTGATAAAAAGATACAAAAATTCATAAAGTGCTAATATTTTGTGAAACGTGACTATTATTAATAAATCTTTAAAATAAAATAAAATAAAATTTTACCTTTATTTTGTTTATAATTTATGTGTACAGACAGGAAATCTCACTTCATCAGGGTTGGAATCACAATAATGTCAGTCAACATCTGACAATACTGGGTATGATATTTGTATAAATAATGATCTGTTCAATTCCGATCGGTTGCGTTTTGTTTATTTTGATTTTCTGATTTTTTTGCGCAACACACATGAAATATCCGACGATAATGAGTGGCTGGAAATAATTCAAATGCTGCGTAATTATAGAAAATGCAGCATAACTCACGTGACAAGAGGACAGTGTTACAACTGTTACATGCTACAGATCAGGGACTTGATTTTCTACTTTCAATTTCTGCCATTTTTGTATAATATTTATGAAAGAAAATTTTCTCTAAATAAGTTTATGTTAATATCATTTATACATTTACTTATTTATTTTTTCATTGTAATAATATTATTTTTAAACAATTACTTTGATATTAATGTTTCGTAGTAACAATAAAGAAGCTTTTATTTATTTCAAAAATGTCTTGGATACGTTCGTTACACACATTTTTTGTACAAAGAAATTTGAAATTTCTTTAATTGATTTTTCACGGATAATTAATAAGTCTAGAAATTTCTCATCGTAGTAATTAATAATGGACGTTCGTGTAACAGATATATTCGAATTACTACATAAATTATTAAATTATGTAGCTTGGCGTTTAAAAATAAATGTATCTCGGCGTTAGAAATGGACCAAAAAATAAATAAATAAATAAATAAATAAATAGAACCAATTTCGGAATTATTGATATAAATTATAATTCATGTATGAGAATGCAATTCCTAATACTGTAATATGAAAGATTTTAAAAGTATATATAGGATTTCCGTTCGAAAATATTCTGTTCTCCAGAAACAATATCTGTCCTTTGAACGAAGAAAATAAATTTAATTAGGATCTCTATAATCTCTTTATTAATTGTTATTTTTTTTTTAAAAAAAAAAAAAATCATCATTTAAGTGTGGATCTACCAGTTTATCAACATGCTTAGACAGCTTATTAACATAAAAAAGTAAGTAATATATATATTTACTAGAGTTAAGCGTAATGTTTATAATTATTGACTTATCTGATTGTGAATAAAATAGAAACTTATTAAGTAATCTTACTCTTCTTTTTTCTTATTAAGCTTCCTTACTAGGCATAACATCAATCAAATACATGAGATAGATGATAGACCAATACATTGTCTCATTTATCGGTTTATTCAATTCTGTATTTCAATCTATATCATTCTATTAATCTGCGAGGGTAAATTATATTTAAAAACGGTAAATATCTTGAAATTTTCACATATGCTTATCCAGAAATTGTCTGGCCTAGTCTATGATGGATATCCGACTGATAACAATGTTTGAATAATTTTCGCGTAATTTATACCATACAGGACCCTCTAACACCTGGCGCGGTAAGATTAACATTACAGGAACCAAGTAATTTTATAAAACCCTCATATTGTGTGGAATCGCCACCAAACGCAAATCCATCAAGTTGTGCAGAAGATAAATTACCCTGCGTATATTGGGGAGCAAAAGAAATACAATATCCAATCGAGGAAACGGGCGTAGCATTTTTTACTACAAGAGCAAGTATAGTAAAATATCCACCAGGAACATGCAAGATTTTAGCATCATCACCTAAAGATGCTTGTATAATTAATTCTCATAAAACTCATAAAGCTCATGGTGAATCTGTAATGAATAGTTCTTTTATCGCTGATATTGAAAATTACACTGTAAGTACTTTGTACTGTATATTTGTTAAATATATTATATAGAGTATACTGCATATTTATATTTTTTTTCGTAATTTTTTTCCAAATAAAACACTACTTAGGTTATGATCGAACATTCAATTGCTTCTATTGATGGAAAAGTCTTACTTAAAAATAGATGTATGAATGGTCAATTTTTATCTGCTGACGATAAGACCGTAATTAAATCATGGTGGACTGATTGTGGTAAAGAAAAACTGATGGTAAAAAAAAATCATGTAAATTCATCATATTATTATGATTAATTACTTCAATAATCATGTAGATTGATCCAAAAGACGATGGTGATGTTTTAACACTGAAAGAAATTTTGGACGCTGCAGGTACTATTTAGTATTTAGATTTGAGAATATCATTAATTAATGTAAAATTCTATTGACGTTCAATTTTAATAAAATGAATAGGCGCAGACTTAAGCGGTAATAATTAATTTACCGTGCACCTCCGTTTTGTGGGCGCGGTTTGTGTCGATCTTCGCCTTTAAGTGTCACATGATCACGTGCAGCCACGAGTTCAAAAACATTAAGTATCTGAGGGACAGTTTTTTTTAGTGTCAAAAATTTATTTGTCACCCCGTGATACAAAAAAACCGCGCCCACAAAACGAGGGTGCATTTACCGTATGCTTAGAGTAACTTCTTTTATATTAATTAACTATTCAATTTTTTAATAGCTTGCTCAACCGCTCCTGGTGCAAACGAGTCAAATAGATCCTCTGGTATTATTATCGTAATTGTAATATACTATGAATATTATCAAAATCCATATCCAATCTCGTACTTTATCGTATGTCATATACTTTTAATCCCTCCAAAACTTATTTATTTAAAAATTTATTTAAGATATAAAAATTTTTTTTTACCCCAAATAGAATAACGTATACAATTATAAATATAAGGCAAGAATTATTGATGATGCTAAATATAAAATAATTGAAGCTACTTCTAATATTGATGATGGTTCTTATACAATTAAAAATCGCCATGGGTACCTAGATATATACATCCATTATATATATATATATATGTACAGTATAAGAATTTATTAATTCTTTTTTTCTTTTTTCTAATAGGATTCGGTTTGTATTTAATCAACATGGAAAAATTAGGTCATTCAGTTGGACAGCCTTAATTATAAATGTCACAGCATCTCTTTATTCATATGTAAGCCTTTATCTATCTTTCCTCGTATGTTTCAACTTTATATATATTCCTAATTTTTGAATTATTTCTTAGAGAGTTGTATCCTTAATTATGGATTTTTCAATAAGACACGAAGTGGATAAATTGTTTGAAAAATATTGCATGAATATATATACATGGTTTAAAGGAATTTTCCATTCGAATAGGGATAATGATAATAAAGATAATGAAGAATCCTTACTTATTTTGTAAATTATAGTGGAATATCGGAATTTGCCAACACCGCAGCTCCCGAAGAATTAGTATTTGTTTCTTTATTTTTCTTTTATTATTTATTTTATTTCTATATAGAATAAATGAATAATAGTTAAGACATTTAAATTACTTATAATTTTAAGAATTACCTTTGTTGATTTGTACCCGTTAAATATAAAGTTTTTCTAACCGAAACGCCGTTGAGTATTGTAATGCCAGAAAAGTCACCTTAGTTGAATGTCCCAAATTTTTATTTATAAAATCTACTTTATATATTGATATTTTTAAATCACAAATTTTTCATCATTTTTCCTATAAAGATTAAAAATTAATGTGCCTTTTTGCATTATCTGTGATATCACTTCCTGAATTGTTAATAAAATTTCTTTTTTGTAAAAATTTTTATATGAATCTTTTCATTTAATCTTTCTTTTTTTATATATCTCTTTATAATTTCCACCTGATATTAAAATGAAGAAAAAAATCAATATATTTCACATTTTCATTTGAGATAAATTATTTAATAAACAAACTACTTACCAAGTCATTTCACAACTTTATATACCAGATGTGAGACATTTTATAGAATTAGATCATTGCACTAATTTTATCATGAAATGCAGATCAATCTATTTGTAATAATACTTGTGTTTCAATAATAAAGTAAACATATGTCTGAGTTGGTGAAAAATATTTGTATTCATCTCACTCATAAACTTTTCATCATATTTTATTGTAAGTTAGGAGGCATGGTCTTAAGAATCACCTTCATCTTTATTGATCTTGAAACATTATTGCCTTGTGACAAAGAATTCCACAGCAGCTTTGGCAAAAATAATGTAGTTAGAATTTTATTTTCTATTAATTGTAGAAAGTTGCTTCCTATTCATTAATCATGAAAGAAAATTCTTCCTTTATTGGTGGAGAAATGCCTCTATTACTGGTTAGGTGTTATCCAATGTTATGATTTTTCATGAAAACAGAATTAAATAAATCAAGTGTAAATTTAGCCAACTGTGTACTTTGATGTCTCTATAAAAGATTGTGAAGTGATTTACATATGGAGTTTTTATCCATCTTTGCAGTGCATCTATAGTAGATTGTAAAATATCTTTAATGTGCTTATTGACAGCTCCTGTACTTTATCCACTTTGAAATTTTCATAATGAAAAGCAAATAATCAAATCTAAAGTTTTAATTTTAATCCTAATATTTAATTAAGGATCATTTGATCATTTATTTTGTAGAAATAAAATCAGGAAATATATAATTTAATAAGATCATGATAAAAATCATTCAATTTTAATAAAATTTTTAAAAATATAAATGAAATTTATTAAAAGAATTTTTTAAGTAGGAAAAATTATATTTTATTAGTGGATACAGTAGCCAGATGTAGATACTTCATTAAATACCTATTAAAGGTATAAATTGCTGTATTTCTAAAATTAATCATTAATCCATTAATCAATCATGAAATATGTTCATTATATCAAATCCATCAATTATTATGAGAACATTTAGAGGTATAAATTATTATATATTTTGGTAAATCTATGTACTAAAAAAAATTCAATGTCAAGTTAATTGAATTATGAATTATGTGTCTACGCCGCCTGCTGATCTATTCTGTGTTTTTTGATAGAGAATTTCGGTAAAGATTTTTTTTTTAATAGGAGGGGAGTTTTTTTTTTTGATATAGAAATTCTTTGAAAATTTTTTTAATAGGTGGTAAGAATCTTTGAATTTTTTTAATATGGAAAATGTGTTTTTTGATGAAAGATTTTCGTTAGAAATTTTTCTTTGATCGGGATATTTTTTTTTGATTGAGAATTTCATTAGAGAACTGTTTGTTTAAAAATTTTTTATTTTTTTGATGGAGAATTTGTTTAGAAATCTTAATAGAAGATTTTATTGAAAATAGTTTTTTTTTTAATAAATGTATCGAGAATTTTGGCTTGAAAATTTTTTTTTAATAAAGAATTTCATTAGAGATCTTTTTTTTACAAAAAATTGATTGAAAATTTATTGGAAAATTTTTTTATTAAATTTTACAATTATAATAAATTTTTACTCCTCTTCATCTTCCCTTTACTTCTTTTCATCTCCCATCGCTCCTTTTCGTCTCCCATCACTTCTTTTCATGCCCAAAGAACATTACATACTTGGAAATTATTTCATTTAGGAAAAATATAGCGGTATGTGTTTGATTTTTTTTTGAAACTTTTATCCCGATTCCATTTTTTCGTACAATAACAACTCTGATTAATGTTATAAAATAACTTTTCCTAATTTAACGTTGTTCCTCCACATTTCAAATTGCAGCTTGGAATTTATATTGGGCATTTTTTTTTCTAGTATAACTAACACGCCCCCCAGTATTAGACGTTCTAGTTCGAGACTTGTTACTCATTGCCGTTTGGCTACATGGATGATAATGTTTATTTCCAGTTCACTAAGCTTTTGTATGCCTTACTATTTTTTATTTGTGAAAACTGCTAGATGTAGTCGCTTTGACATGGTTGATTAACAATATTTATTATCTGTTTCGGAATAAGTTAATTACAAAGAATGAAATAAAAGGATAATTAAGTTACAAAAAAATTAACTTTGAGTGAAGTGCGCAATAGAATGTACAAAATAATGAGTAGTGAGAATATGGACAATTACAATTACAAAAACTAAACAATTACTGAAATCATTATTATTTTTTAAGAAAAGGTGAAAATATACGCTTTACTCATAGAATACTCTATAAATTAAAATCAAACTCAAACCGGAACGCAAAACCTGCAAAAAAGATGACAAATTAAAAAATAATAAATACCATCAAGAATTACAGTTAATTATTCTTTTAATCTAAAGAAAATCAGGTACGCTACGCGTATAGTTTTCTGTAATTTTGGAAACACGTTCTGTAAATGAATAAAATAATAAAATGGGATAAATACGTAGATAGTGTTTACTTAACAGTGGTTCTGATACATTAGAAATTCGTACCTCCCGAGTCGCAAAATGTATAAAATTCGATTCAATTAATGGTAAAATGGGTTCGTCTATCACGAGCCTTGAAGTAAGGAAAGGCCATGATCGATATAAGTCATCAAACCGTAAGTCCATAATATATGATTGTAAAGCATCACCTGCAATTTCAATAAATAATTAGCAAATAATAAAAGAAAACAAACTGATAGGATTATAATAATAACAAACCACATTATGAATATTATTGATTCCCCTGGACCACCTTTTGAATATAATTGCTGATTGATAGTTTCTCCTGCCTGTAAATGAGCTTTTATAATATCTTTTAATTTTTTTACAGGGCCACATCCCAGTGGCTTTATTTGAATTTAGTAAGGGAATACCGTCAACAGTACATGAAAAATCAGGCCTTTGTCTCGTTGCTTTAACAGAACGGTCTATTTGCACTTCATAATCTTTACCCTTTTTACAGAAAATTGGATTTATGTAAGGATATAGGAATTTTGAGCAATGTTCTATTTAAGACATTATTTTTGGCGCAAGATTGGGGACACTTTCTCGTCTTGTTATGAAATAAATTTTGTTAAACAAATTCTCTTACAATTTTATAAAATACTGTAAAAATCGTGTCAACTTACAGTTCGTTAAATGCTCGATCCTGCTAAGAGGAGTTTGATCTGGATAAATTAAGCTATCCTTTCCACATAAATGCTTTAGTGCAGCATCGTGTAAAGATGCCAACATTGAAGGTGGTATTCCGGGATCTTTCAACTTGTATGGATTTGTATCAATTATTATTTTCCACCCTTTACGAGTAAAGAAATTTTGATAGGGACATTGTTGTGTGAGTATAATAATATTTGAAAGCGCTCTAATAAATTAATGATTTTAGTGTGAATATATTATGTTCCAACTTGTAAGCTATAAATATCATAATACTTACAAAATATCATATGTATGGTGCCACGTCAGTCCGGTTGTTTTTAGTGTCTCAAGAACTGACAATTGGTAATTATAAAACTTCTCGGATATATTAATATCCTGAATTATCCACTGATTTCAAAGACAATGATTAATATTGATAAATAAGTAAAAACAACAAGATAAAGTTTTAACCTCATACTTCATGTTTTGGTTTTATAATGTTAAAGTGGTTGTTTACTATGGTTATATGTTGTTTTTTTGATCGTTGTTTTCCTGTTTCCGGTTTGTTTGCTTCCTTTAAATTCCTATTATCATAACAGATATATACAAAGTTAATATTCATTTCCTATGAGTTAATTAAGGAAAGTACGTAGCTGATCTCTCATCCACAATCAGCAGACCTTAAAAAATGCACGCCACAGGATGACACTTACAATAGCCACATGTAGTGTTAGAACATGTCTGGGCGCATCTTCCCCTATGCCATCAGCATAGAGTGCAGCACGAAGGTACAGCAGACCTTAAATGCACGCCACAGGATGACACTACACTTCCCGGCACCAGTAGTGTTAGAACATGTCTGGGCGCATCTTCCCCTATGCCATCAGCGTAGAGTGCAGCACACTCATCACCCATGAATACCAACCTTCTGCAATGTGAGAGCCTTTTCTAATTCTTTTGTTCCTGGCTCAAGATTTTTAATTAAAATTTGCTAGTTCTGTTCTTAAAGCGTTGTGCGACTCAGCTTTCTTAGCATATGGTTTTCTTTTGTAGAAAAAGCTGTCCCATTTTTCCATGTCACCCAGAAGGCACAGGATTTTTCCCAATATTCTAGGTGAGATACATACAGCATTAGAACATTATTTAATTCAGTGATTAATAAAGATAAATAAAATCCTTACCTTTATAATGAATATTTTTTAGAATTTCTTCAGATAGGACCCATTTTTCCATTGGCATATTAGTATTTGATTATTAGTAAATATGAAAACATAAAAATACGCTTACTAAAAGTCAATAAAAACTGAAAATAAAAAAAAATGAAAAAAAAAATGAAAAAATATGCTGGTATATATAGGATATTGGACTTCAAACACATCATACTGTGATCAAAAAAAAAAAAAGGAATATGAAATACGATAAATTTGATTGAAAATTATTTAAAAATTTGATAAGTTTGATTGAATAAGTAGTGTGTTAAGTGTAATTGATGTAAGATATTTGATCGGAATTTTTTGATCAGTTTGATCGAGTAGACTGATAAATAAATTTGGACCTCCGAGTAATACGAACGAATATTTAATATTTATAATAACAAATGTGGCTTTATGAGTAAGACTATACAACCTATTTTCTTACTCCGACCACTCAAGCTGTTTTATTATTTTCTCCGAGTCTAATTGTTATGAATACCCTTAATTTATCTTAAATAGGATATATAACTTTTTTGATGCGGCTGTGTGTTTATAAGCATCTTCTGAGTTACAAACTAGTTACGTGTAAAAAAAGCGTGACTTAGCTAAGCTGTATGTAACAGGTAACACAGGTAACATTTTCTCTCCAATTTTTTCAATATTGGAATTTTAATCTTTCGGTTTCTTTCTTTCATTCTGAACTGGATATTTTTTTTCATTCGTTCACCCTTTTAGGTTTGGATCAGTGATCAGATCGAAATTTTTTTTTATCGTTATTTTTTTTTTTTTTTTTTACTTTTTTTCCCAATGGCTTTTTTTGTTCTTTTGCCTTTTAGGTTTGGATTAGGCAAGTGTTGTGATGTAATCGAAATAAGTATTTTTATTATTTAAAAAAGTATATATGAACATTATACCGCGAAAATTGGTTCATAGGGTTAGAATTAGGATATATAATGATTAGTTTAAGTTATTGTATTGATTTTTATTAGATAAGCGATTTATATAATACAAGAATGATTGATATGAATTTAAAGACACTTCTTTATCATCTTAAAAAATGGGTAAATCAAGTAATCAAGATAAAATTTCAGAAGGATCAAAAAAGAGAATAAGCACAGATGTGCTGTGTGTAAATTTTTGATTCATGAAACTGCCCAAAAAATTATGTTTGATTTGACAAGGAAAATACTAAGTTTCTTTTTTATAAAAAATTAAAAGTCCTGTAAATTTTGTATATTCGCACTTTAATAAAATCTTTATTCATAATTTATTAATAGATATTCCCTATTAAAAAATTTCTGGGAAAAATTCTGATAAATGATCATTAATTCGGTGAAATATTTGGTAATTTAATATATGCTAAAGTTCCATAATTTTTCTTTTTAAAATTCTTCGCAAGTAAGGGGAAAGATAATGTAAAATTACCATTTGAGCAACGAAATATTTTTATATAAGGATCATTTCCAACTTCAATAGTAATATCATAATACTCTTCATCATTTAAAATATCAAGCAAATTTTGTAATAATTTTGGTAATAATTTATTATTAGCCATTTTTTTTTATTTTTTTTATTTTAAATTCAATAAAAAAAATGTCCTTGCATGTTGCATTTACGGCACGTGACTATATTTTGTCACGGGTATGAAGCGATCACACGCTTCATATTTATCCTATTTACATTTTAAGGATGTCTTTCATATTAAAAATGTCACGAAATAACGAGAAATTTTTCATTACCAGTATTTTTAACAAGTATTTTGAGAAATTCATGAATTAAAGCTGTAATAGTAATTTGGAAGTAGCACATTCTTTTAATCACATTATATGAAGTTTTGAAAATGTGACGAATTGAGATAATATTACTATGTACAGTACAATGTTTTTTATAAGGATTACACCCGAATCCCGAAAAAGATTTCCGATGCTAGTAGATCGTAAGAAAGACTCCAAGAAAGGAAGCGTCCGGAATGAAGGATGATCAGGATAAGAAGCTATTTGGATAATTTAAATATAATAGACAGAAGGTTAAGACCCGGTCAACTAATAATGGAAAGGCCAACAAAGAGTTGTTAGTAGAAATTAGTGCCTTTTTAAAGAAGCTTAGAGGATTTGTTGAAGTAGTGACAATAAATTATAACAAAAATTTAATATTAATCAAACTTGCATTGGTTTATATTATTTTATTAGATGTTTTAAAAAAAGTTCGTTTCTCTTTTCTTGAGTTTCGTATCGAAAGAGAATTTTTAAATTACTTAAATCGGAAGACTTTTTACGATCCCTTCCATATTAAATTAGATCAATTATTGAAACTGTCAATATATAATCGTACTCTTTAACCCCTTTGAAATTTGCATACACCAATTTACTGTTCTTAATTAATTCGGCAAAAAAAAAAAAGTACGTGGCCTTCACTGCATTTTCACATTAAGATTTTTATTTTTATGATCGTAATGGGACACATAAAGATCGGCGTTAACATGAAATCACTAATCATATAAATTTAACGAGCCGCGTTCTTGTTTTTTTCATAAAAAAATTTGAACATAGATATATTATCAGAAGCTAATAAAGGGTTAATTTTATCTGTCTCTTATACACATCTAGATGTGTATAAGAGACAGTTTCAAAGTCATTAAATAAATGAAATAATTAAATAAATGATTAAATTTAAAATCTATTATAAATTAAATAACTGTTTGAAGATGCTAAAATTTCTAATTATAAATTTCAACGCTATTTCAACTTATAAAATAATATAATGCCAGAAAATTTTTCTTGTAAAAAAAAAAAAATTACAGAATATTATAAAATAATAAGTAAATAAAAAAATTCATACTGAAACTTACAAAACTACCGTCTACCGAAAACGCCATCTAACATTACTTCTCGTCTATAAAATTAAAAAAAATTATTATATATATATATATATATAAATTTTGATCATTAGTTAGGGAAATTTTCATATAATATTAATTTCATATATTTTGTGTATTACATTAACAAAATTTTTATTTCGTCGTCTCGCAACAAGTTAAAAAAAAATATTTTATTAGTACTCACGATGTCATTCTAGCACTATTCTATGAAAGTGTAATCCAAGTGTGTTCGTTCCGTGATCTAAAGTATAATCCAAAATGTGATATCAAGGTCAAGCAGCAAATAGATTGGAAATTCCTACTGAAAAGATTTATGGTATATAATGTGTAAGGGTCTGTTTTAAGGGTCAAAGAAAAAAAGTTTTTTATGTAAAAAAAAGTTGTGATCGGCGTGGCTTAGAAATTTTGTGTTCATGATCAACATCGAGATCAACAATTTTGAAAACGGCTAAGGCTTTAAAGTTTTCATATTATGCACAACTGCATGACTATCATTTTTTCTTCTTTAATATGAGCCATATCAATCAAAATTTTTTTTAATCGAGTACGACTATGAAAGTTAATTCATTCATATTCATGAAGTTAATGACAATAATAATAATAATAATAAAATATTATGTCTATGGTATTACCATTTCTTTATATAAAAAAATATAATAAACGTACATGTATATTATAATGACAATGTAATACAAATAAAATTTTCATTTCGCATCGAGTTCTTTGAAAACCTTGTTTTACAATTGATACTACTGACCCAGGACGATCTGCATTAGAATGAATATTAAAATCTGTTTAATTGGACGGAACTACTTATTATGCAAGCCAAGCCCTAATAAACATTTGTTGGCGGCTTACGTATTATAGAGAAAATTATTTAACCTATTAAAAAATTATTACCCAGTATGGTAACCTTTTTAAAAGGAAAATCTGATTCTCATAATAACATTTTCAAAAGAATGGATTTAATACACGAGAATGAAGAATAGCCGGACAACAGGTAACAATTGAAAGAATAGATTGAAGATCTTTAAAAGAAATGAGAAGAGATTAATTAATTAAAATTTAGTATCATTGATGATAACAATGAAAGTTTCTATTCAAGGAAATTTGGTTAGTCAAAATAATGTAAACTACAAATAGAAAATTTCGAATTCCAAAAACTATATATACCCTCACTCTTCTCCCTTCAAAAACTCTCCAGTTCGATCTGAAATAAATTAAAAGTTCGAAATAAAAATAAAAATAAAAGGTCTAAAATTCAATTATGAAGTTAACAATAGCTATTTGTTTGGCAATTTTGGGAGTTTCAACCCTTAATGAAGGTGAGTATAAAACTTGATTATAAAGAATACAAGTAAAATGTTTTTTTCTAATTTCATTTTATATATATGTAGTTACTGCTGCTCCTACTCCTAATACCGGGATTGGATTGAATGATAAACGTGACGAGTCACCTTCTTCATATTATTATGATGATAAGAAGAAGGAAGACAAAGATGATTATTATTATTACTACTACGATCATAAAAAAGGGAAAAAAGAACATTCCTACAAAAATGATAAAGACGACTACTACAAGAAAGATGATCACGAAGACAAGGACAAGAAGTATTACAGACGTGATGCCTTAGCTTCACCAGATGATTCCTATAATGATGATTACTACAAGGATGGTGATTACAAGAATGAGTACTACTACGAGAAAGATGACCACAAAGATGATTACCACAAGAAAGATGACCACAAAGACAAGGACAATAAATACTACAGACGTGATGCCTTAGCTTCACCAGATGATACATACAATGACGATTATTATAAGGATGATGACTACAAGAATGAGTACTATTACGAGAAAGATAGCCACAAAGACGATTACCACAAGAAAGATGATTACTACAAGAAAAATAAAAAAGATGACAAGAAATCTTATTATTAAAGTTTTTTAAAATAGATTTCTATATAAAATTTATCTATCTACTAATTAATTACCTTTCAGAATTTTAATTTGTTTCAAATTATTTTTTTTTTTATTGTAAAAAAATCGATCTTATTTGAAATTATGTGAATAGTTTTTTTATCTGTAAATTTTTAAATAGTTCCCTTCCCCTTCCCCTACCCTTCCCTTCCCTTCCCTTCTCATATATTTAGTAAAAGAAAAGATTATACTGTATTAGTTACTATAAATATAATAATCTATTTGTATAAAATTAAATGTAACATTTGTCATAGAGTTCGAAAAAAAAAGAATAAAATGAAATTGGATAAATTAAACTAATACTATTAAATTATTCTCATATTATTATTCCAGTAATATATTAATATATTGTCTAACTCATCGTACTAGAAAATGAAAAACGAAAGAATACAAATAATTTTATCCAAAATAATTTCTATTCACTATTAATTTTAACTTAACTAATATTATATGCTATCCATATACTATTGTAACATTTTAAAGACAAGTCTTGGTTAGTCCTTATCGTACAGTGATGTTATGATGCCACGTACTTTTTTTTCTCATTATAAATTTAACAATTTACCTGTAATAATTATTGCAAATCCTGTCGTCAACTAGATTTAAAAGTAACGTTCAACAAAATAGAAATAGATTATATAAAGATAAGTTTCTTCAGATAGATTAAGAATAAATGCGAAAATTTCATGATCCTAAATCTCAATAAACATAATTCGCATTATGTTTTTACATAATTAAATTTTTAAAATTCTGAAGGCAGTTGATATGATTAATAAAGGAAGGTACGAATGTCCTCCAGTTTAAAATAATTAAAAAATATCCAGCCAAAAAATGAAATTAATAATTTTTTAATTTTTTAAAATTTTAAAGTATTGCATAGATCATATAAATCATATGATTTACATCATACGATATTTAATTCTGCAATAATATTACTTTTATTTAATTTTACTCAAGCTCTTGTTTTACACATGTACAATTGAAGATAACAAGATTTAGATCAATTTTAACTCGTGTACTGTAAGACTATCATGAACTACTGTATTTAATTGTCTAAAGTTTTAAATTTTAGTTTGGTTATTTATTAATTGAAATTTTTATAACTTTTATAATAAATAATATGCTCTTAAAAGTCACGGCAATATCAAATTTCAAAAAAAAAAACAAAAAATGAAAGTAATTATAAAGACATCATTTTAAGTCATTAATTATATCTTTCAACTTAAGCAAACTTTCCATTTCTTTTCTTGAAAAATATTTATCTTTAAATGCTTCTGGTACATTCGGACACAATTCATAATAATCTGATAGCAAATCACCCGTATTAGGAACGTAAATTATCGAACAAAATCTGTTTGCTATATAAATGTTGTAGGTAGAAATGGAATCTATGTGGATACGGGATGTTGGCCAGAATTAATGCATGGTGCCGGACTAGGATTTCGTAATGCTGGCCAAGATCCGATTTCCACCGGTATTCAGAAACCACATACAACATAAATAAATAAATAATGATGAGTTACTCAAATCAATTTTCTTTTAAAATAGTAAGTTCCAAGTAAAATAGGAATATACCATATTAATAGAGCCATTTAATTCAATTGAAAGTTGTTGGATATTTTGCAGTTATTGGAAGCCGATATTCAATCCAACCTAATCCCTAAAGTTTTAACAAATCTTCATATTTCAAAATATGCTCGTATTGTTCGGAATCCTATAATAAATCCATAGAATAATTATTAATTAAACATTTTTAATAGTGAAAGTAGATTTTATCAATTAAAATAAAACTTAACTATAAATTTGATAAAAAAATCTTTATATAGTATTTTTTTGACATTTATTTTCCAAATAATATAAATAATATACTTATTATTTAGTAAAGGCAAATCCAAATAAAGTTTTTCATTTTTTGAATTTATCACCTTTCCTGATAAACTTGAATTTTTTAAAACACAAATTAAAGAAATTCAAAAACAATTATGAAAATTTTTAAATACATAATAAACATTTAATTTACCTATTTATATCATTTTCTTGAAGTTGATGAAGTTTGTTATCTAGATTTACCAGATTTGATATAAAATAAACTTGTAACTCTAAAATAATTTACTATGATTGATTAATAGATTAATTATTAAACATTATAAGAAGCTAATAAATCTTACCTTTATACATGTGTTTAATAAATCCACATATCGGCTGATCAGAAAAGCCTCCTATAATTTTATATGCTAATGACAATAAATAACCCATCAGTTATATAATGAACCCATCAACTGAGCTTAAATATTAATTGGCTTGATTTTTCCAATCAGCCGATATGATTAACAATTCCAAGTTCAAAAATATCATCATTATCATTAACATTTAAGTATGACCAAAAATCCATGTGTTCTTTTATTAGTAGACAAATATATGTTACATTTGAAATCACTTTTCTATTATTATAGAATAAATCTAAGTCTATCATTGCTTTATGGTACATTTTTAATTCTACATATAATTTGCATCTAATTAAATATAGTAGTTTACTATCTTTAATTTTAAAAATTTGATTAATTTTTGTTATTACATTATTTACATTATTTAATACTGTAAAATTATTTTTATACAGTAAACATTCTAGATGAAATAGTTGTGTTCCACTTGAGTAGTATGATACCATCACCTTTCTGGAGACTTTTTTTTTACGCGTATGGTGGTGGTTGATTTTTCTTCCACCTGGTACCAGCCATACTAATGACTTTTTTTTCTTGTTATTATAGATTCCATTTATTATATTTGTAATTAAAGAAGAATGGAATGAAGAAATTTTGCAGACTGAACATCCCTTCTGAAACCAACATTGACTTGAATATTTTCTCAATCTATATAATAAATTGAAAATCTTCTTAGAAAGACAACACAAGAAGTTCTTCATCATTATTAGATTTTAGCACAAAGAACACATTTTATTTTTATGAATGAATATGATTTGTTACATTATCAATACAAATTTAGTAAAATATAGACATGCAAATAAACAGTTGCGAATAGCGTTGGGATTGGTGCCTTGAAGCCATCCTATGAGATGTTGTGCATCAACTGTTTCTCCGGGACCGTTAAATATAAAAACATGATGAGTTCCTGAGTGTGGAACTGCAGCAATATGCGGAGAACCAGGCGGAGGGTAAAAATTAACATTTACCGGAATACCAGTATTAAGGTCGACCACAACATAATCGGGATCCATAATTGAACAAATTTTTGGATGAGTAAAAATGTATTCGTTCAAATCTGGGCCAATTTTCCTGAGAGCATTTGCACCTTGACGATTTTCTCCGCTAGCGTCGATTGAGATCCTTCCTGCAAGGAGTTCGGCAAGAGGCATAACGTCTTTGTCAGTCCATTTTGAAGCAGATTTTTCTGATAGGGTGGTCACGGGCTCCAAAAGCATTTTCCCTGAGAATATAGAGTGCTGAGTTCACCAAAAATATTCGACTATATTTATTAAGACAGAGAAAACAATATTATACCTGGTAACGGTACATAATTTATTTCAGCAAGACAAATATTGAAATCTTCCTTATACGCGTCACAAATCTCTTGACGTGAACTAAATAATCTAATAACAAAAATATAGTTAATATTAAAAAAAGTGTTATTTTAACAAGCTAGAACCAGCTTACTTAGGCTTTTTAGCAGGTTTTTAGTTTTTCGAGTTTTTCTTTGAGGCATTATAAATTCAGAATGTTGAATGACAATCGTAATTAGTAGTTACGCGACTTAAATAAGCAAACATTTCAGCCACATGATTTAATACGTCATCTCAGACTCTCAAATAAAAGAATAAATTCAATAATATAATATGAAAATATAAAATTTAATTAACAATCATTTTACAGATTATATAATTGCATCACACAATAATTTTTTTAGTCGTTGTAAATTTTATTACGTGTATGATTATAATTAGAAACATTTACAACTATCACGACTATAAAAAAAAATTATGGTTTAAAGCGTTTGTATAAATATCAAACAAGTCGACAACTACGAAAAGAAAATTAAAAGAAAAGATACTGTATGTTAGTTAAAAAATTTTCCTGTTTATTTTATTACCATGTGTGTATATAATTATTTTTAATATATAAAAGTTACGTATACTTATAATCTGCCAAAAGGCTTCTTTCCTTTTTCTGAATCGTATCTAAAATTAATAATAAACAGAAATAAGTATAGAGTCACAAATTCTTCTGGCTAACTTTTATTCTAAAAATCAAGAATGATAAAAATCAAAATTAACTCTTAAGTTCAAATTTGCTATCATCAAAAAAAAAAAAATGTTAGGAGAACCGATCTGAGTTATAAATAAAACCGCTTTTAAAATAAATGTTAACTGACCGAACTATCCATATCACTGATTATTTTGAAGATAAAAAGATAAAAGTAAATTTTATTCATTTGTTCAAAGCTAATAGATAGTTTTAAAAATAAATAATAACTACATAAAAAATCTTAATATTTTTTTAAAAAAAAATGATCATGAATCAAACATCATTCACGAAAACAAGAGACGAAGTTAATAATAAAAATTAACCTGTTATAATATTTTAATATACTTGATCATAACTATGAATGAGTTTATAAAATTTTAATAATTTTTATTTTCCTGTAATTTGTTTTCGGTATTTTAAAAAAAATTGCAAATTTTATTATACTTTTATAATTTAACATAACGTTAGCATATAAGTATAGTCCTTCTCTTCACTTCTGAAAATAAAAAAAATTATTTGACTTATTCCAATAATCGCTGATATTCCATTTTTTTTTATTAAAAATTTGAACATATCATTCATTCAAATATAGTTTATGTAAAATCATATCATAAAAATGTGTTTAAACTATAAAATAAATAAATAAATAAAGTTTAAAATAAAACATTAGTGAATTAGTTTTTTATTTTACATCATAAAAATAATATCACAAATATATAATAGATTGTATTTACCTTCTAACTTTGATGTGCTAGAAACCTCTAAGTTAATTAATTGAGAATCTTGACAACCTATTAATTAATTAAAGTTTTAATTATTTAATAAAATTTAAAAAATATAATATAGTAAAATGTAATACCTTCATTATTTTCTTCATTAAGATATGTTGTAGCAATAAAAGATGAATTAATGGGTTTTGACAAATTTTTAAATGTAAATACTCTACTAGTATAAATAGCATCAGGTTTTTTTTCATATAAGGTTGAAATATTAGGTATTTCTTTATCAGCTTCCTCAAATACAGCTCTAACTTCTTCTTCTTTATATCCATAATTTTCATTATTATCATAATTCACCCAACATAATAATATTTCTTCTAATTCATTGGCTGTTGGTCTTTGATTTGTATTAGAATTCATACATCTATGAGCTAATTTCTTATAAATTTCAGGAGTTCCTGTTCCAAATTCTGGTCTGAGTCCATTACATATTTCTAATGCTAAGTCACCATCATGTTTTCTTTTATAAAAAGGAGGTTTTCCAGATGATAATTCAGCCATAACTACACCAAAGCTATAAATGTCAGAAGATAATGTATATGGTTCTCCATTTAAAACTTCTGGGGCAATATATGGCAACACACCAACTATTTTATTACTATCTGATGATTCCTGTTCATTTGATGGTCTAGAAAATCCAAAATCTGAAATATAAGAAACACCACCAAAATCTAATATATTTCCACTATGAAAATCTTTATGAAAATATCCTAATTCATGTAAATAATTAAGGTCCATTGCTGAAAAGTATAAATAATCAATTTTCTTTCCCCATAAAATTTTGTTAAAATTACTTGAAAGAACATTTCTCAAATTTCCACCATCTGCATATTGCATAATAATCATAATTTCTTTGGTTACTGGATCTTTAGTTATTCCATAAAATTTTAAAGAAGTGTCTTGTAAGCAATTTAATTTCCAATGTGTTTTAAGCCATTATTATTCAAATTAAAGTAAATTAAATAAATTTTAATATTTTTTTTAAAATTAAAAAGGTACATGTCATGTGAAAATTACCTCATTTAAAAAATCAGCTGACATATTATGTGATCCATTTAGCCTTTTCAAGGCAACTTGTACGGATTCAGGTTCTTTTTTTATCCAATTTCCATCAACTTTAATGTATTTTGCTATACCATCAATCCAAGTTGCAGAATATACTTTCGCAAATCCACCTTCACCTATTTGTTTCATATCTTCAAATCTATCAAATGGAACCCATTCAAGAAATGATGGACAATATTTATCATGACCAATATATTTCGAACGTACATTATAAATCGAATCCTTGATAAGATTATCAATATCATCATTTCCACTGGTCCATCCTTCAATTATGCAATGAGGAACACATTCTTTACACCAAAATTTTTTCTTATCTGGGTCATAACAATTTTCATGATTAATTTTTGATGAATTTGGATTTTTATCAGAAATATTTAATTCATTAAATTCGGCTACTACTTCGTTTTCATTAATAAAGCTCATTTTTAAATTTATGTTCTGTTAGTATTTTGCTTCAAATTTGCGAAAAAGAATTTTTTTAAAAAAAAATTGGCGTTACTTTTCAATGAAGATAAAAAAGGACACAATCAACATGGATTGTCATACTATAAATTTTATTAGTCCGAAGTGTAACGAATGTGATACAAATGTCCGGCGGATGTCCGTCTGACACGTGACGAAATACAACAATCAAATTTTAAACAGCACTTCGGACTTAATAACGGTTTCCATTTCCTAGATCATTCCAATAATTAAAATTTATTAAAAGTCTACTAATTTTGTTGATAAGTGAAATGTAGCACTAAAAAATTTGTTATTTGAATATTAAATTATATCTTAATTTGCTTTCCTATATTTTTAAATTAACAAACGTTACCAAACCTTTTTAAGCGTAGGAGATAATATAAAGGGTGACATTCATTATTTATTATACTTTTAAAATACACTTAATGTACATAAAAACCAATAAGAAAACAACTTTTTTTTAAAATATTTAATGTGATACTTTCTAATTTTTATATTGTACTTATTTATATTAAGGTTTGAACGATTTTTATATTCGTATTTTTTTTCTAATAGAAAAAGAAAAGTAAGAAATTATTTAAAAATTATAAATTTTATTACGTATATATTTAATTTTATATTTAACATTTTTATTATTTATATTATTACATTAAAATATTAAAATAAGTTTATCTGATGAATAATAAAATTGAATAATATAATTATAATTAAGAAATTCTTTCATTTCTTTGAAAAAAAATTTCATCACAAAAGAGTTTGATAAGAAAAAAAAAAAAAATTTTTTTGAAAATAATCACGTTATGGTCGTTGAAGCTACACAAGAAATTTATAATTATGTTATTGAGTTTAAAAAAATTATTTTATTTCGACACAGATGACAGATCAATATATACTGATGAACTAATTACGTCATAGGATTTTTACCGTAAAATGAATAGCAGTCATATGATACATGTCAATCAATTTCTGATGTGCAAATATAACGAACTTTACTTCTTTTTTTTTTATTTTAAAGATTGGAAATGAAAATTAAAGTTTTTTTTTTTTTAAAGGTCCCCCCATGACGTTAAAGCAATGCTGACGATTAAGACGCTATTATTCGAGTTTGTGAAAACAAAATACAGGAGTTTCGTGCATATTCGCTTAATTTAACTGCTCGTTATTTCAAAAGTGTACTTTCTGTTAATTAGATGAAAAAGGAAATTAATATGATAATATTTAATAAACCAAATATTATTCCATCCGTTTTTGAAATAATTTTAACGTAAGTATATTTTATTTTATTAATTTTTTATATTGGAGCATTATTTGTTGCTTTTAAATTTTAATGAAAAAAAAAATACTATTTAATTTAAATAAATTGACATTGATGAACTTGTTACTTATAAGAAACTAAATAATAATAAAATTTAAAACCGTGTATTATAATTATTTAAAATGCTGATACCATAATTGTAATCAGTTTACAACAAATCAAGAATATATCATGCCAAATATATATATATCATGCCAAATTCACTACTCGCTTTTAGTCAATTAATTCGTTATACTACTAATTAAAAGGTTCAAAATGTCACAACTTCATGCTGATTGCCTCAACGAAAATTTTGAATATTTAGATAATAATAAAAATACTTTGTATTCATGCTTATTAGTCAATCATCTTTGGTGTGCAGTTTCTGTCAGGATTCTATGGAGAAGTATCAGAAATTATCGTACTTTAATAATTTGCTTTCCAAATAAATCAAAGAAGATTTTATTTGAAAATGGAATTTTAATCTTAACTTCAAAACCTCTATTATTTAATTATGTAACATTTTGTAAATCTGTATCATTTCATGAGATCGATATTAATATTGAACGACTTCTTAAAAAACAACAATTTGTTTCAATTCAAAGTTCAAAAGATAACATAACACAGGAAATATTTAGATTTCTTATGAGTCAAATAATTTCTTTGAGAAAATTAATTATTACAGAATTTATACCTGAGAACAAAGATATGAAGTTTTCTTTTAGACATATGAAACCTTTTAGATATGGAAATACAAAAGTTCCACCTTTGAAGACTCCTAAATTTTCACCTGAGAACATTATGAAGATTCTCACCGAATTAAGAGATAGGATGTTAAATAATCTCAGAATTCTACTGTTACTCAGATACTTATCCTGAATTTTTTTTATCGGTTATCTCAAATATGTCATACTATACAAACATTAAAAATAAGTTTGACAACAGTAGATATTTCAAAAGAATTAATAGATTTAATTTCTGTTCAGAAAAATCTAAAGAACTTGTACATGTTACAGTTACGATACGAGGTAGACAATTTAAATGATTTGCTAACAAGAATTCCTAATACTTTGATCAATTTTACTTATCATGGGATAAATAAAAATTTAAATTTTTTATTAGTTTATACTTAATACTAATCTCTCAAATTTACAAGAACTCAAATTATATTGTAATAATTATGATCTTTGGATATTTAATTATGACCTTGTTTTCGACCGATTTAAAAATTCTAACGATCGTGAATGTTATGAAAAAGCATTTACTAACTTAAATAACTATCTTAGTACGAATAGATTAAATGAATTCTTGGAAAATAATGGAAGAAATAAGAGGAGTATATGTATATATTGTAAAAGTATTAGAATTCTTAAAACAAACCTTACAAATAATGATTTAGGCGTATTGCGTAATTTTTTTAAAGCCTTTCCATTTTTAGAAAGTATTAGAATTTGTTATCACGATTTAAATTCAATGAGAAATTCTTATTTGAGTATGTTGTCAAATATACGACTAAAAACTTTCATGAACTAAAATTATATTATTATAATGAAAAAGCAAAAACATCATTAGTTCCAGAAGAATTAGAATTACTTTTAGAAAGTTGGAAAAGTCGTGTACCACAGAAACCACTTTCTTTGGTTATTACTGGCTATCATACTTTTATTGAGAATGATGGAAATATTAAGGTAATTGAAAAGTATACTGAATTAGGTACTATTAAGTTAGTTAATAAACCTATAGATAATTTATATAAATACGATAGTATTGTAATAAATCAATTATCAAACAGATATTAAATAATTTTATAGGAATAAATTTTTCTTTACTAAATTTTTTTCAATACTTAAAAGTTATACATGGATTTTAGAAGAAAAAAATTATTATTGTGCTTTTTAAGTTAAGTTATACTGTATATAATAAAATAAAAAGCATTCAAAGGAATTTATAACAGTAATTCAATGTGATAATTACAAATAAGTAAAAAATTTTATTTATATATATATACATTTTTATTTTAATAAAAAATAAAAAAGAACTATTATTGCTTCTTTTTTTCATATATTATTTTGCTTCAAAAGAAACAAATGGATTACAATGTCTAATAAATAACTATGATAATAATCTTGGTTTTTTTACTATATAATTAATAATACCTAAATTGGTATATTCATTAAGTACATCCATATTTTCACTACTCAAAGTTGTATTATCAAAGATAATGGAAAGTTTGTGCGATTTCCTTTCTTTCCAATCTAAAATGAAAGTATTTAAGTCAGCTGTAAGTAATGTTGATATTGCATTATCTAAATACTTCAAATTCTATTTTATAAAAATTTTCTTTTGATAATTTCAAATAATTCTTTTTCATTTAAATATTAATTTATTTTAATACTTTCCAAATATTGTAATTCTTTAATAAACATTTCAAATATTTCTAGATTAGTATGACTATCTAGTCCGGTGTAAATTTCCTTAATATTTTGACATGACTGAGCAATATAATTATTTAATAAATTATCACTATTTTTAAATAGAAATTTTTTTTATATTAGTTCCATGGGTATCTAAAAATCTAATTAATGTATTATTTGTTGGTTGAATAACATCATTATTAAATATCAATACTTCTAATTTTGATAAATTCAGTTCATTAAATTTATTATAATTACTTTCACTCATAAGTGATAAATTAAGTTTTTTCAATTCATTAAAATTGTTCAAAAGTGAATACAAATTATCAATATTAATTCCAGAAATAGTTAATTCAATAATTGAATGAGGAATACTACTGAAAAATCTGTTTTCATTTTCTAATTTTTCGAATTGCCAAACACTTAGTTATTCCAAATTTCTTTGAACAGAGATAAAGTCAGCCAATCTATCTGAAGTAGAAACAACTAATGTCACATCCAAAACTCGTATTTTGTGACATATTTGTGATAGTTGGTTATAAAAATATGAAGGAGACTTGAATGGCAATAAAATTCTTCAAGGTCTTGTAAGAAAGTGTTTACCCTAACTAATGAATCCAAGTAAGTATCCTAAATCGTATACATATAATTCTTTTAAGGATACTTGGTTCACAAGTAATTTTAATATCTCATTTGATACAATACGTAACTTTTCATCACTCGATTCATTATTAAAAATTTTTTTAATACCAGAATGGAAAAATTCATCAAGTAAGAATTTTTTGCAGAATAATGCATAATTAACGAAGGGAGTTTTTAAAGTTGGGACTAAAATATTATTAGCACGCAAAATATCCATTGATTCATTTGGAAGGCAAGATAGTAATGTTTTATAATCCAATCTATTCCTCCACAAAAGTCTTACAGAAATTGAACACTACAAGCGAGAAACGAGTAACATGAATATAAGGAATTAACATCTAAATTTTTAAAAATTTCATAAAAACAATTATCATTAAGTTGACTCATTATGTTTATTGATGAGGAGGAGCCCCTCGATTAGCATCAGGAACTATTGGGATAAAAACATTCTTCCCATCACAGGTAAAGGCTATATGTTCACGTGATTCATGGACATCATAATTGTAACGTTTCAGACACGTNGCCTAAATTGGTATATTCATTAAGTACATCCATATTTTCACTACTCAAAGTTGTATTATCAAAGATAATGGAAAGTTTGTGCGATTTCCTTTCTTTCCAACCTAAAATGAAAGTACTTAAGTCAGCTGGAAGTAATGTTGATATTGCATTATCTAAATACTTCAATTCAATTTTATAAAAATTTTCTTGTGAACAATCTTTGATAATTTCAAATATTTCTCTTTCATTTGAATTTCCAGAAATATTAATTTTAATACTTTCCAAATATTGTAATTCTTTAATAAACATTTCAAATATTTCTAGATTAGTATGACTATCTAGTCCGGTATAGATTTCTTTAATATTTTGACATGATCGAGCAATATAATTATTTAATAAATTATCACTATTTTTAATAGAAAATATTTTTATATTAGTTCCATGGGTATCTAAAAATCTAATTAATGTATTATTTGTTGGTTGAATAACATCATTACTAAATATCAATACTTCTAATTTTGATAAATTCAGATCATCAAATTTATTATAATTACTTTCACTCATAAGTGATAAATTAAGTTTTTTCAATTCATTAAAATTGTTCAAAAGTGAATACAAATTATCAATATTAATTCCAGAAATAGTTAATTCAATAATTGAATGAGGAATACTACTGAAAAATCTGTTTTCATTTTCTAATTTTTCGAATTGCCAAACACTTAGTTATTCCAAATTTCTTTGAACAGAGATAAAGTCAGCCAATCTATCTGAAGTAGAAACAACTAATGTCACATCCAAAACTCGTATTTTGTGACATATTTGTGATAGTTGGTTATAAAAATATGAAGGAGACTTGAATGGCAATAAAATTCTTCAAGGTCTTGTAAGAAAGTGTTTACCCTAACTAATGAATCCAAGTAAGTATCCTAAATCGTATACATATAATTCTTTTAAGGATACTTGGTTCACAAGTAATTTTAATATCTCATTTGATACAATACGTAACTTTTCATCACTCGATTCATTATTAAAAATTTTTTTAATACCAGAATGGAAAAATTCATCAAGTAAGAATTTTTTGCAGAATAATGCATAATTAACGAAGGGAGTTTTTAAAGTTGGGACTAAAATATTATTAGCACGCAAAATATCCATTGATTCATTTGGAAGGCAAGATAGTAATGTTTTATAATCCAATCTATTCCTCCACAAAAGTCTTACAGAAATTGAACACTACAAGCGAGAAACGAGTAACATGAATATAAGGAATTAACATCTAAATTTTTAAAAATTTCATAAAAACAATTATCATTAAGTTGACTCATTATGTTTATTGATGAGGAGGAGCCCCTCGATTAGCATCAGGAACTATTGGGATAAAAACATTCTTCCCATCACAAGTAAGGGCTATATGTTCGCATGATTCATGGACATCATAATTGTAACGTTTCAGACACGTTCTGCTTAATCCAATTTCCCTATGCTTGTATCCATCTAAAACTGCAAGATCCTCAGTGATAGCATAATCAGGGGTAAGTTTGATTGACACTCCCTTTACCATGCCGAATGTCCTACCTGTTCCTGAAGCACCAGATATGTTGTATGTAATACTCTTGTCAATATTCAACCCTAATTCCTCAGCAGCTTCTCTCTGAATAAAAGACGCATTAGCACAAGTAAGGTTGCTTGCCGAAACCTAGGGGTTTAGGCAAGATAGCGTTTCGCCGAAAAGTGAAATTCTGCCGAAACTATATTAAAGTTATATTAAAAAACTGGCGAAACTTTGGAGAATGGCGAAACTGCCGAAACTTATTATAAATGCCGAAACTGCCAAAACTCTGCCGAAACTATAATAAATCTATAGTAAAATTTTGA